ATATTGAGACATATCTCTCTCCATAATAAAAAGCCACCCAAAATACTTAATAAATAACAACTAGTGTTAAAGAGAACAGTATTAGAACTGCATATTTTTTATTATAAATCCCATCCTGCCTGCTGCAATTTTTTCCTGTGTATGTTGATATTGGCTCCAATCCCAGGGAATTCCAGGAGTTCCTTGACCTACAGGATTCCAGCAAAAAATTGCAGCCGCTACTGTCCAGCACAAACGCATATTTTCTGTTTCTATTCTTTTTCAAACAAACAAAGATTTAACTTTAAAAATATTTTAAATGTGGGTGGCCAAAATATTAGAAACACCCCTAAAACTCTCAACAGCATCTAAACCACAACTACAAAAAGCATCTAGACAGGTAATTTCTAGTAGTCAAAAGAGGTCTAAAATGCAGCCCATGTACAGGATAAAACTAGATAATTATAGTTGCCAGATGTTGAGTTTTTGTAGGTGTTCTGGTTTTTCCTCATCGTACACTGTGCACCACTGAAGCAACTCTGGTCTCAATGTCAGCCTGCCTTTGCATCGCATGTAAGCTGCAATACCGGTTGTGGCCAGAGGATGGCAGTAGCAGGCCATATTGGGGTGTGCATTTTCTTTGCCAGCTAATAGTTGGAAACCGAATCTCTCCCGTGAGATATCAGCATTTGGTTCAGTACTTTTTGATCATTCTTGTAATAGCTTATTCCTAGTGAAGTTATACTTGAGAAAAGACAAGGGCGTTGTTTTAGAACACATTCCATAAAGGAAGGTTAAAAAACTACAAACAAGTCTCTCCCCTCTACCCATAACCACAGCTATGTACACACACATCACGCACTGTGCGTAGGGGGCACCACCAAATCAGCCTAATGATCATTAATCATAGTAATCACAATCTTATAGACAGGGCGCCGCAGGGATGTTCACAGACATTTTGGGGGGTGAGGCTTAAGCAAAAAAAAAGGGGCACGCACCCCACCTACAAATTTTCCATTCCCAACCTGATGTTGCCACACTGTTCAAACACTTCAAATCCCAAATTTGACATGTTTTCATGATATTCATTTATCGTTCAGTTGTTTGGACCAGTTCAGTCACAGCAGATCAGTGGTTTCTTCTAGAGAGGAAAAGGATGAAGGATACATACATTTGATGGCATCCAAACAGATGATGTACAAGAGCCTGGCTGATTTTAAGAGAGAA